TGTGCCCAATGGGGGACCAAACCTGAACCTGCAACCCAGGCGTGTTCCTTGACCCGGAACCAAACAGGTGACCCCTTGGTTTGCGGGACGACACTCCAACCAACTGAGCCACATTGCAAAGGCTATTAAGAACTTTTCAAAAGACTATTAAAAACTTTTGATTTCCCTCTCTCTTCTCAAAATTGTATTCATCATTCAAAGCCTGTTTTTTGAAAAAACTACTGATTTCTCCAGTCTTAATTCATTCCTTTGTCAGTGCTCCCATAGCACTTTGAACTTTATTTAATATTTATGATTTTCTATATTCTACTGTTATTCTATTATTTCTATAGTTTTTTTATCATTGTTTCCTCACCCTGAAACTCCTGTAGAACAGAGGCCACAACTTAATTTGTCCAGTTCTTGGCACATAGATCACAAATGCTGAACTAAATGGAATCATCTAATTTTGAGTGGTCCTAGAAGAGCTAGCCCAAACTTCCCAACCCACTCTGAGTTCTTTTTGGACCGAGGTTTGACAGTTGATTAAGAGATCCATCACCTAGCTCTGGCTGGTATAGCTCAGTGGATTCAGCACCAACCTGTGAAACAAATACACAGTCACTGGTTCAATACCCAGTCAGGGCACATGCGTGGGTTGCAGGCCAGGTTCCCAGTAGGGGGTGCGCAAGAGGCAATGACACATTGTTTCTTTCCCTCTCTTTCTCCTTCCCTTCCCCTCTCTAAATAAATAAATAAAATCTTTAGAAAGAGAGAAAGAGATCCATCACCTAAATAGATCTATGGCTTCCAGAGATTTGTCCCTCCTGGTTCCTGCTGGCCCAGTGATTCCCACCTACCAAATACATTTGTCCTCAGTAATTCTTATTTTTACATCTACCCCTCCCATTCTTTTCCTTTAGGATAGTGGTCCTCAACCTGAACCCCTCAAGTGTTCAAAGACAAAACTACTTTTATAATAATAGTGATGTTATTTGCCTTTTTAACTGTGTGGACATTTGCACTGATACAAAAGCAAAAGTGGGTAAAACTTGACAATTTAGCAGAATGACACAGTGGCACCAAGTTGTTGTAGTAGTCATAGCATCCCTCCCCTGCTGTGCATTTGCAATTTTTTAAAGTGCCATTTTTTGCCCCGTGTGGTTCAGTGGGTTGGGTGTCATGCAAACTGAAAGGTCTCCTGTTGGATTCTTGGTTGGGGCAACATGCCTGGGTTGTGGGCCATGTACCCAGTTGGGTGTGTGTGAGAGGCAACCAATTGATGTTTCTCTCCCTCTCTTCCCCTTTCTCTAAAAATAAATAAAATACATATTTTAAAATGCTATTTTCAATTAAGAACACCATTAATGAAGCAGTACAAATTATTAATTTTATTAACTCGACACTAGAGTACACATCTTTTTACTATTTTGTGTGAAGAAATGGGAACTAAGCACACAGTACTCCTGCATATGCATGGATGGTGGTTGTCTGACAGTTCTAATAAACAGCATTAGCTACAGTTAAACACAAGTTGGATTAGAAACTTTGTTTTAATGTAAGTGTTGTCTAGTAACTGCAGCATTACTAGAAAAAATATTCACACTTCAAAGTTACCCACTTGATATTTACATTTGTTACAAATGATGTAGCTAAACTGATCAGATCAACCACCATAGTTTACACTCAGGTTCACTGTTTGTGTTGTACATTCTATGTCCTTTTTTTTAAATCCGTACCTGAAGACATTTTTCTCATTGCTTTTAGAGAGAGAGAGGAAGAGAGAAGAGAAACATTAATATTAGTTGGTTGCCTCCTGTGTGCACCCTGACCTGAGGATTGTACACATAGGGACTGCAAACCTGCAACCTAGGTATGTGCTCTGACCAGGAGTCAGTCCTGCAACCTTATGGTTCCTGGACGAGCTCCAGCCAACTAAGCTTCACTGGCCATGGCCAGTCTATGGGTTTTGACAAAAGTCTAACAACATATATGTACCATGACATGAATAATCATACAGAATAGTTTCATTTTTCTAAATCCCCTGTGCTCCACCTATTCAGCCCTTCCTCCCTCTCCTCAATCCCTGGCAACCACTGATCTTTTTACTATCTCCATAATTTTGCCTTTTCTAGAGTTGCACATACTTCAGATCATACAAGTATATAGCCATTCCAGATTGATTTCTTTCCCTTAGCGATATGTATTTAAGTTTTCTTCATGTCTTTTAGTGGCTTGACAGCATTATTTTGTGAAAGGACTGTGTATCCAAAGCAGCCCCCAAAAGTCAAAGCAACTGATAAGCCAAAAAATGAGGCAGACAAGTCCAGTTTGTTTGTTTTGAGAGTTTAATAGGGAACTTACATACAAAAAGCAGTTTTGGGCAGCAACAAAACAAATGGATCCCTTCACCTTCCACCCCCAGATTCTGAACAGTGAGAATGCTGTGTGGATAATCAAAGGGATCAGATGCTCAGAGGCTTGGGTACCAGGGTGAGGTAACAGAAACACTGAGGGCTCCTTGCCCTGGTGAGAGAAGTAAGGGGAGTTCTAAGTAATGAGAGCTCTGTATTTCAGAGCTCACCTGGGGGAAGGAAAAGGGAGTGAAGGTGGTGGATTAACTTTAAGATGGAGTCACTTATGTTCCTCACAAGTTGATTTCATTTTATCACTCAATATTCCATTATATGGATGTGTCGCAGTTTGTTTATCCGTTCACTTACTGAAAGACATCTTACTTGCTTCTAAGTTTGGGCAGTTATGAATAACGCTGCTATCTATTTTCCTGCAGGTTTTGTGTGGGCATTAAATTTTCACCCAATTTGGGTAAATGCCAAGGAGCACAATTGCTGGATCATATGGTAAGAGCATGATTAACTTTGTGAGAAGCTGCCGAACTGTCTTCCAAAGTGGCAGTATCATTGTGTATTTCCACCAGCAGGGAAGGAGAGTTCCTGCTGCTCCACATTCTCACCAGCATTTGTTGTTATCAATGCTTTGGATTTCAACCATTCTAACAGGTATTTCATTGTTGTTTTAATTTTCAATTCCCTAATAAAATAAAATGCTGAGCATCTTTGCTTTTGTTTTCTTCTGTTTTTTTGTTTTTTTGTTTGTTTGTTTTTATAACTAAGCACCATTTACTTGAAGGGACAACAGACAAACTATAGTTATTCAGACTGGCACAGTTGTCTGATATTTTCCTAAAAATGAAGGGAATGAGCCTGAACCTTCAAGGAAAATAATAGACAATAATTGTTGCCAATGACAAAATTTAAACTTTCAGGTGAAACTAAAATTCTAATTTAACAAACTAGAATTTGAATCGGCCACTGTGAGTTTGGCAGCTTCCCTATATTTAAGAGCCTCTGCCTTTGGAAGAGCTGCATACTCAATGCAACAGTAAGTGACTTTGTTTTCCAATGTTTTACTCATGGCATGATTTTACAATATCACGTCATGAGTAAAATGTCCATTCAAAATACAAGATATACCGATAATTTTAATATAACTGAGCAGAAAGTTCATTGATATGATTTCAATTTCCACATCTGAGTAATCTTTAAAAACTACCATTTACAAGTTTAGGTGTTCTATTAAAGAAGGATATCCTTAATTATCTAAGAGGCTATTAAAATGCTTCTCCCTTTCCGAACTAAGTATCTGTGAAGCCAGATTTCCTTCTTACCCTTGTATCAGTCAACCCCATTTCACAACAGATCCAATGCAGCAGTTATGAGAATCCAGCTGTCTTCAGTTAAGCCCTCACAGTAGAGATTCACATGTAAGACAATATGAACTACACTTTTTGTGCAAATACTTTTATTAATAAAAACATTGTTTATGTAAACATTTAATGGACTTACACATTTCTAGTGAATCAAGACATTTCTCAATATGGTAAATATAATCCATATATATAAAAGCTCTTTAAGATTTTCAGTATGGTTTGTAAAGTGTAAAGGGGTCCTGAGACCAAAAACCGTGAGAACTGCTGCTCCTATATGCCCTCCTCTTATCCTGCTGGCCAAATCCAGGGCAGAGAATTAAGATACTACAGTGCTATTCGAGACTGGCTTCTCTAAAAATCTTCCTGATTGTAGGTAAGTGGAGGCAGTCTGGCTTCCTCACCCAGGTGTGTCTGGGTAACTAAGGGGAGCAGTGTTCCCATAGCCTCAGGGAGGCACTGATAACCAGTGTTCTCGTAGCCTTGAGACTGGGTCCGTTAAACTGTTCCCCATAACATGGAGTGGGCTCACGTGCACAGAATTGTTACATAATGTTCTGGCAGTTTTCTGGCTTTGTTCCCCTCTAGTACTTAAGCGAGGAGCTTACCGCTAGTTACACACGCAGCTTGCAGCATGCCTGGCTCGCACACCAGTGAGTAAAAGTATGGCAAGCATCCCCAAGGCTACGCGCATTTTCTTCCATCTCCCAGAGGCAAGAGTGGATCTGCCCAGCTTTGACGGGTTGCGACACACGGATAACCACACATTCTGCATCATCTCTCCAGTTACATTGTTCTGGTTTCCCCGACTGCTTCAAACCTCTGGTTCTTGGCATGTACTGGAAGAGAAAATAAAGGAAACTGGGCATTCTCTCTGGGCTGGGCAGCCCTTCCAGGTGCGTCCTCAACTCAACGATCAACCTCTCTGGAGAAGAGTCTAACATATGTGCCTGAATTGCTCACGTCACGGAGAGAGGCCCACTGGGGGCGGGGAAGGAATCAGGAAAGTTGCGGGAATCCGAGTCTTCCTAGAGTTGAAAGAGTGAAGTGGGGTTGAAGGTCTCGCGCCTCCTCTCTCCATTGGTGAAACAAGGCCCTCCCACGCCCTGTCGCGCACGCCCCCTACGCTCGGCCGCATTCCGCTCCGTCCCAAAGGCTCCCAGCTTCGCATTCCGCCGCCAATCGGGGAGCCAGGAGCCGCCGGTTACGGCTCTTCACGACAATCCCGGCGCTTTCCGGCGGGCGCTTCGTGCTGATGTGTCGGGGAGGCGTGGCTTAGGGGAGTGGCGTCTCGTCACGCCCATACCTCGGAAGCGGCTGCTGTGGGCGGCTTTCCTCTGCAGGAGCATGGCGGTGCCGGCCAAGTCTGCGCGGGGCTCCCCCGGCTCAGGTAGGCACAGAACCCCACCCTGCGGCGGAGAGAGCGGGGAGACGCTGGTCTCAGAGTGGCAGAGGCAGGAGGACTGCCCCGTGGGACCTGGGGAAGGAAGGGGTTGGGAAGGGGTTTGTAGAAAGATGTTAGTCTGCTGTTTCGGGGTGATAATGCCTTTGGATTAGCGGTTAGGGGGCTGTAGTCTGAGAGAGGTTCTGGGGCATTGGCGGATCCTGGAGCAGGGGCTGCACCGCAGGCGTGTTTCTGGTAGAGATGACTGGGAGAATCCATGTAGGCAGAAACCCTGGGCTGTTGGAGCTGTGATTTGGGAATGAGCCGATTTTAAAACACCAACACTCCACGAACACATCTCTTTCTATTTATTGGTTACAGATAAAGTACACAAAGGCAAGGCTGGACAGACCTTAAGGTCCAGTCGGGCCAGCTGCATAGGGAAACTCTTGGGTTTTGAGTGGACAGATGTATCCAGCTGGGGGAGCCTGGTGACCCTGCTGAATCGACCAACGGATCCTGCAAGCTTGGCTGTCTTCCGTTTTCTCTTTGGTAAGTCTAGTTTCTGGGAGGGGCCCATGTGGTTGGAGTAGGAAAATGACACCCGTCCCTCGTCCCATTTCTTGGTTTCTTAATTGGTGGACTTACCTCCTTTTTTCCTCTCAGTTATGCTGGAAGAAGTATTTGTGAAATTTATGGTCAAACCCAGCTTTGTCTCCTTTGATTAGGATTTGGAGGCCAGAAATGCTTTGATCTGAGGAGGAAATATAGAGGCAGAGGACTAAACTTCAGAGAAATGGCAGAGGTGACATAGCAGACATTTTGGCTGTGACTCCCTAATCCAGAGCTTCCTGTTGAATGGGTTACAGATATGTTGTGCTATTAATCCCGTAGCCCACTGGTTCCCAACAGGGGACATTTTTGCTTCCCTGGGGAACATTTGGCAATGTCTGTGGACATTTTTATTTGTCATATCTATGTTGGGGGGAGGGACAGGTGGCTACTGCCATCTATATAGGAGCCAAAGATGCTGCTAATTGACCTATAATGCACAGGACAGTCCCTTCCAGCAAATAATTAACCACCCCACATGTGAATGGTCCAGAGGTTGCAAAACCCTGCTTTAACTGGAGCTGGCTTCCTGACCCGAGTAGCCCCTTCTGTTTACCTCAGTGTGTTGGCCAAACACTGCTGTTTCTGGGTATGCTAAGAAGTGGAGAATGTTGGGAAGCACCACCCTAGACTACTTTCTGTAGCACAGACCTGTATAAATATTAACTATCAAAACCTGAATGGCTGTTATAGCATTTTGTATGCTTTTCTCATTTAATCTTCTGTATAACTCGGTAAAATATTATGAGTTCCCTTTTACAAATGGGGAATTGGCTATGAGGTATAGTAGGAGATCACACAATTGGCATAGTGCCTAGCATATAGTAGGTAGTCAGTAATTTTTGTTTAATGAATAAATAAACAGAAGATCCAGGCTTAGGAAAGAATTCTGACCCTAGAGCTAGGTTCAATCGACTGCTTCCTTTGATGAGGCCTAATGGCACCCCTTCAACTGCCTTCTCAGGGCTGTTGATGGTACTGGACATTCCACAGGAGCGGGGGCTCAGCTCCCTGGACCGAAGATACCTGGATGGGCTAGACGTGTGCCGCTTCCCCTTGCTGGATGCCCTCCAACCACTGCCACTTGACTGGATGTATCTTGTCTATACCATCATGTTTCTGGGTGAGGAAAACTGTGGGAATACCGATTGGCCTACCTAAAACAGAAATACAAAGCATGCTGGTGAATGATCAAGGTCTTGGGTTCCTTATTTTACTTCCGCTGTGATCATAATTTCACCCCGTTGACCTATGTGTTGTCTGCGATGTGACCCTATAGCTCTTTTTTAAAAAAATATTAAAATAACACTTAATTTTTATTTAGTTGTACCTGATTATAAAATGTCTGAGGACTTTTCTTAATCCCACTCACAGCCTGTCCTAGGGGAGCTGGGCCTGTGATGACCCTTTGACCTTTTAATCCTCTCCCCCACAAATCCCAGGGGCACTGGGCATGATGCTGGGCCTCTGCTACCGGATAAGCTGTGTGTTATTCCTGCTCCCATACTGGTATGTGTTTCTCCTGGACAAGACGTCATGGAACAACCACTCCTATCTGTATGGTTTGTTGGCTTTTCAGCTGACATTCACGGATGCAAACAACTACTGGTATGAGTCTAGGGGGGGAAAAGGGAGGTGTTGGATGGGTCAGAATGGTTACCAGAGATAGGGGCCCGTTGAGGTCCTAGAATTTGCCCTAGCAAGTGTAATTTCAACCATACTTGGCAAAGGTCACATTTTAATTTGGATGAATTTGGGTGGGTGAAGGGTCAGTGAGGTTGGGGCACTTGGGATGGCAAAAAGCAAAATGGCTTCATTCCTACCCCTTTACTTTCTCCATATCTCCCCAGGTGCCTTGATCTATTCCACTTCCTGTAATCCTCTTAGAAGAAGAAGACTAAAGCCAGACATAGCTGTTTTCAGATACTTTGAGGGTGGTCACATGGAAGAGGGAGCAGACTTTCTTTCTGTGAGCCCAGAGGGGTAGAGTTAGAGCCAAGAGTAGAAGTTGCTGTGAGGCAGAGTCGTGTCAGAAGGAGAGGGCCACAGGGCTGCTCAGCAGTGCTGTCCTGGGAGGAGGTAGCCCTCCCCCACTCTCACTTAGGTGACCATCTTTCAGGGGGGTGGAGAGGGGATCTGGAGACAGGGTGGCAGGGCAGATGACCTTCATTATTAAGTGAAAAGCAAATACGAGATCTTAGTAAAAAGAGGATGTATAGATAAAGAATCTCAAGCATTGAATTTGTTAGTGATTTATCAGTCATTAAGTTTCATTTGTTAATTCATGCATACAGATAATCCTCTTGTACACTGTTAAACTCATTCAGAATGGCCAGAATTAAGAGGCAGTTTTGACAGAATACCTCTGAAAAGTTTTATTTTTATGGCCTTTACACAATTTGAAAAATACCTATCACTTACTGAGGGCTTTCCACATGCCATCTAACTAACACTTTAATTTTTCCTCATTTTAACACCATGAAGTCCATGGTACTGTTCCAATTTTTATAGATGAAATCTATAAGGCTTAGAGAAGTAAAAGGTTTGCCCAAGGTCACATAGCAGGAAGAGGCACAAGTGAGAATCAAGCTCTCCTTAACTGCAGAGTGCAGTGCTCTTGACCACAGTGTAAGCTGCCTCTTTCCCAACTTCTCAGCTCATTCATTATCTTGAAAACCCGCTTTGCTTCTGCCTCCCCAGAATAAATCTAGTCTTAGAGCCTGGGTTTATCCATTCTCTCCCCAGGTAGGCTGTTAGTAGGTACCCTCTGGCACTAGGTCCTGGCATCCAGGTCTATGAAACATTAGTTTGTTTTGATATTGAAAAATTTTTTAAATGTACTATAGAATTTATGTACACCTTGAGCTTTTTAAACATTCCCTCAAATTTATTCTTTTTCAAATTCAGTCATATTGTAGCATTGTAGTTTTTTTTCTGATTGATTCTATTAGGACAAATTAATTTGCTCATTAACTAATGGTAAACACTGAATTTTTTTTTGTAAACACAACTTCTTGTTATGACTCATTAGTAAGATTTTGGTTATGAGTTACAATAATCACTGCTAAAATTTACTCCTATTCTAAAGGGCCTCAAAATAGCCCAGTGAGCTAGACAACATATGGGAGTTGTCCTGAGATAGATTATTACATTGAAAAAGGAAGACAGAAATCTGGCTGGACTCAGAAGCTCTCCCTCAATCCTTACTTTACTTGGTGTAGGTCTGTGGATGGCCTGCTGAATGCCCGAAAGCGGAATGCCCACGTGCCCCTTTGGAACTATGCTGTACTGCGTGGCCAGGTAAAAGAGTTTAGGAGGGGGAGGTGTTCTTTGATAGCCATTGTCAGCATGGCCATCCCACTGCCAGACTGCACTCTATTTGGCCTCCCTGGATCTTCTTTCTTCCTTTTGCTGGAAGGGTAGTCTGGCTTTTCTGTTTCTAATACCCTAGTCTCTGAGCTCTCTCACCTTGTCACGGAAAGAATAGAGCTTTGTCCCTGCCACGTTAGAATCCTCGTGAGGGAATAATGTCTATGCTTTGTGACTTTCCCTGGTGCCTAATACTGTGCCTGGCCTTGGTGGGATGTCAGTAGGTGCTTGTCGGATGAGAGAATATCTGAGATGAGTGAGTAGAAGAATGGAACTAATCTCCTTTGCACCCTGAACTGAGATCAGAATTTACTCTATGTTTGACTGTCTGCACAAAATAAGGTTCTTTTTTTAATTTTAATAATTTGTTTTGCATTTGTGTTTACAGATTTTTATTGTGTACTTCATTGCGGGTGTGAAAAAGCTGGATGCAGACTGGGTGGAGGGCTATTCCATGGAGTACCTGTCCCGGCATTGGCTCTTCAGTCCCTTCAAGTGAGTGGCAGTCAGGGCAGAGGCCTTCTTGAGGCACAGGTCCAGAGTGGGTAACTTACCAGTCATGTCTGCAGTTCCTACTTTGCCTCAGTTTGCAACATACTTTTCTCTGTCCACTCACCTCTTTATTCAGCAGAAGGCAAAATTGATATCAAAAGATCTAGGCCTAGCTGCCCCTATTCAGCTTATGGTATGGGGGAATGAAGGGAAAGAAATTTGGAAGGAAAGAGCCAGAACTAGGCGACTTGATGCCCCGAGTGGTTGCCATGGTGCCTGTGTCCTTGGGTTGCCACCCATCCTCTCACTAGGATTCCTTAGCCATTGACTGAGAAGGCGGACAGGCAGTGTCCCTGCCCTGACAAAACCAGTGTTACCAACTTTTTACGAAGCAGAGGTTTGCTTCTCTGCTTTCTCTCTTCCTCTCATGTCTCCTTTTCTCTTATTTTGTTCTTTTTTCCTCCTCTCTGTTATTTCCTATACCCTGTAGCTGGACTACTGTATCATGTTAGTCAAGCATTCACCTTTTAAAGTTTCTTCTCATTTGTAACCTCTATGAGGAACTTGCCCCCCTCAGCACACTCACTTCTCAATCAGATTTGCCCTAGGAGATTTGCCCTTGCTTATTACATGGGGTATGTTGAAAACAATTGGATACCTAAAGTGGGGAATGTTAAAGGGGTTGGAAAATCTGTGGTGTGTCTTTGTGCACAGTTCTACCTACCTGCTGGGTGGATCCTTTGGCAAGAACAAGGTAGTTGGTGTACATTTGCTATGAATATTCTGTGAAAGCTGGATTCTCCAGTGGGCTGGCACCTGACCCTGTCCCCGACATCCACAGACTGATATTATCCGAGGAGATGACGAGCCTCCTCGTGGTGCACTGGTGCGGACTGCTGCTTGACCTCTCAGCTGGTTTCCTGCTCTTCTTCGATGTTTCAAGATCCATTGGCTTCCTCTTTGTGACCTACTTCCACTGCATGAATTCACAGCTTTTCAGCATTGGTCAGTACCTATCATCTGGTAGGAAATAGGAAACCATGGGTGTGTAGGGAGTGACTTGCCAGAGGCATTGTTTGGGACTGGGAGATGAGAATAGGAGCTAAACTGAGCCAGGTACAATTACTGTGGAATGGAAATAAATGGGGAGGAGAGGATTGGGGTTTCTGGGCTCAGCTAGTATTGTATAGTAAGGAATCTGTGGAAAGTAAGTATCTTCTAGTTAAGAATTTCTGTTATAAGTGGGATACTTGGGAGAGGTTTCTTAAGGTAAAGGGATTGAGGAAATTACCTACATTTCTCCAAACCAAACTCCTGAAATGCTTATTTTCTCCTTGCTTTTCTAGGTATGTTCCCCTATGTCATGCTGGCCAGCAGCCCTCTCTTCTGCTCCCCTGAGTGGCCTCGGAAGCTAGTGTCTAACTGCCCCAAAAGGCTGCAAGAACTGCTGCCCCTGAAGGCTGCCCCTCAGCCCAGTGCTTCCTGCATGTATAAGAGGAACCGGTCCAAAGGCGGCCAGAAGCCAGGCCTGCGCCATCAGCTAGGTGCTGCCTTCACCCTGCTCTACCTCCTGGAGCAGCTTTTCCTGCCCTATTCCCATTTCCTCACCCAGGTATGTATAGGGGGCGGGGGCTAGCTTGGAAAGTGGCAGAGGTGACAGCAATAGAAGGGAAAAATGGGACTGGTACTATATAGCTCTTTCTTGGTAGAAGATGGGATTAGCATAAGAACCACTGAGCTGATTTCCTCTGCCCTGCCTTTTTAGGGCTATAACAATTGGACGAATGGGCTGTATGGCTATTCCTGGGACATGATGGTGCACTCCCGTTCCCACCAGCACGTGAAGATTACCTACCGTGATGGACGCACTGGCGAGCTGGGCTACCTTAACCCTGGGGTGAGATTTCTGATGCTGACAATTTATTGTTTTTCAAAGCTCCCTTGAGCTTTAGGGTCTGATTTGGGCCTCAACACAATTATAAAATAAAACAAACTTGGGTCACTGCCCTTTCTCAGGAGCCAGGTTGAACCTTCTTTTATGTGGGTTGAAATAAGGCAATATCATTCACTTCCTTGAATCGAGATCAGATTTAAGAAAGGTAAGTACTACCACTAGCCAGGCAATGAAAATCCTTCCCTAGAGACAAGTTTGTTATTGTTATGTTCTTTTGGTATAAACAGCCAGATCTGTCTGTACCATTGGTGGTGCATGACTCATCTACTAGGTCGTTAACAATGAGGTGGGACTAATATGGGGGGTTTGGGGCAGGTATTCACACAGAGCCGGCGATGGAAGGATCATGCAGACATGCTGAAGCAATATGCCACTTGCCTGAGCCGCCTGCTTCCCAAGTACAATGTTACTGAGCCCCAGATCTACTTTGATATTTGGGTCTCCATCAATGACCGCTTCCAGCAGAGGTGGGCAAGGGATGGATAGGAGGGGGGGAATGAAGTCCAACTCCTTTTGCCAAGATGAATGCCCCATGCACCCCAGTGTTGTCTTGCTTGAAAGGCTGTCCTCTGTTGCATGTCCATGTTGACCTGGTTGTGGGCATAGCTGATTGCTTCCAGCAGGGGGCACCATCATCCCAAAGAAAAGGTAATGACTTGTTCTCAAGAAACAACACAATTCTCAGATGGCCACTAATCCTCCTCCTTCCCAGTGCTCCAGAATCTCTTTCTCCTCTCTGTCTGCCCGGGACTGGTAATAACATGCTGACTTAGGCCATTTTTTTCTATCTAGAAACCCTGTTCTATTGGGAATGGTGATGAAAGAAACAACTGAAAATTCTAGTGGGTAGGTGGTTGTGGCCTTTTTGAAACATGGCTTTCTTTCCTAAGGATTTTTGACCCTCGTGTGGACATTGTGCAGGCTGCCTGGTCCCCCTTCCAGCGTACATCGTGGCTGCAGCCACTTTTGATGGATCTCTCTCCTTGGAGGACCAAGTTACAGGAAATCAAGAGCAGCTTGGACAACCACACTGAGGTGGTCTTCATTGCAGATTTCCCTGGTATGGAAGAAAGCTGTGGGAGGCTTTGCTGTCTTTTATCCTCACTTCCTTGATCAGGGACATTGCATGTGGTGGAGAGGGGAGGGGTCGCTCCTGGTAAGAAGAATGTTTATGAAATCTGACGGGTGGAGGCGGTGAAGCTGTGATGTACCTGTTCTCACTGGGAGTGAGTTCACTCTGCCATGGTGTGAGTTGGGGAACTTTGTTGCCCCTGTCAGGGCTGCACCTAGAGAATTTTGTGAGTGAAGACCTGGGCAACACTAGCATCCAGCTGCTGCAGGGGGAGGTTACTGTGGAGCTGGTGGCAGAACAGAAGAACCAGACTCTTCAGGAGGGAGAAAAAATGCAGGTATTTTGCTGGAATTAACAATAGCAGAAAAGTTTAGATGAGTGGAGTTAACTTATTATAGACTCAAAATGCTTTACCATACGAGTAATGCAGTGAGGCCTCAAAGAGCAAAAACCCCTGGCTGTGAATAGTCTCATACAGGATTCTAGAGGTCAGCTTCTTTGGACTCCCAAGTCACAGTGAGAAGATGCTTGCGGGGTGGGGGAGTGGGTAGTGTTAGGAGCCCATAGGCTGGCTAGGAAAAGTTTACGAGTGCAATAATGCATTTCTCCTCCTCTGTCAGTTGCCTGCTGGTGAATACCATAAGGTGTACACAATATCACCCAGCCCTTCATGTTACATGTACATCTATGTCAACACTACGGAGCTTGCACTGGAGCAAGACCTGGCACATCTGCAAGAATTGAAAGAGAAGGTGGAGAATGGAAGTGGTGAGTATATAAAGATTTGGGCTGAGGTACCCCTGGGGTACAAGAAGCTAGGGTAGTGAATGAGGATCTAGCCATTAAAAAGTGAACTTGAAGCCTCTAGCTGAAAGGAGAGTTCTAGAAGAGAGAATGATCTGTCTCAGTGATTTCTCTTTTTGCTGACATTTGAGCAGAAACGGGGCCTCTACCTCCAGAGCTGCAACCTCTGCTGGAAGGGGAAGTAAAAGGAGGTCCTGAGCCAATACCTCTGGTTCAGACCTTTCTTAAACGTCAGCAAAGACTCCAGGAAATTGAACGCCGGCGAAACACCCCTTTCCATGAGCGATTCTTCCGTTTCTTGCTGCGAAAGCTCTATATTTTTCGCCGCAGGTAAGTTTTACCAACAGTACTTACCATTTTGTCGTTATTTGCAAGCTTCGTAACTTTTTTCTGGTGAGGGTAAGAGTAGGGATTCTCTCCCAGGAAAAGGCTAGCCTTTTTCCATTCTCCTTTTCCTGACTTAATGGGAGAGTAAGTGACGTGTGTCTGATGGCCTTGCTGTCTTGCTCTGCCTCAACTTACCTCTAGCCTCCCCATGGGTTATTCCTGCCTCACCTTGGAATCCCTTCCATCTGGGATGTGAGGGTCCCTGGGGTGGGGGGCAATTCTCATTTATGCCTGGGTGAGAGGAGGTAGGACCAGGTGTTCCCCAAGGGCTGTGGTAGGAATGCCTCTGCTGAAACAGGCTTTTTTCCTCTCTTTCAGCTTCCTGATGACTTGTATCTCACTTCGAAATCTGGCATTAGGCCGCCCTTCCCTGGAGCAACTGGCCCAAGAGGTGACTTATGCAAACTTGCGACCCTTTGAGCCAGTTGGAGAGTTTAGTTCTTCCAACACAGATTCTTCAAATTCTGATCCTCCTGAACTAAATTCTGACCATATCCACTCAGAGTTCTAAAGGGGCCAGACATTGGATACAGATGTGGGAGCAGCCAGTTACAGGACCATTATCTATGCAGTGAAAATTTGAAAACATCCTTATAGATATTTGATGTACCATAATGAAAATAGAAGCTAATTATTCTCAAGTGCTTGTTCTATGCTAAGCACTGTGTAAAGCGCTGTGCCTATGTTATTACATTTAGTCCTTAATGGTCGCTACTCCTATTTTACAGTTGGAGAAACGCAGGCTGACAGGTAATATTTGTTCAGACATAAACCTAGTAAGGGTTGGGTTGATAGTTTGAACTTCCTGTCGGACTTAAGGTTTTGCATCTTGCCTCTTGTAATTTTCAGTCACAATAATTCTGAAATAACATAGCTTAAGAAAAAAACTTGTTTTCTTAAGTATGATTAGGATGGTGATCAGGTTCTAAATGCACACAGAGCAGCTGGTAAGTTTTTCACTAGCAATTATGAGAGTAGTTACAGTAGCAGAATTAAACCAGTAAGGAAATTTAGATGATTGGTGTATTTTCCTAAAAATAAGTTTAATATTTAGCATTATTCTATCATTTAGTGAGAAGGTAATTATTAACCAAACTTGGTGAGGTATTAGGGAATGTCTGGTCACTTTGTAGGTTTGTATATACAGGGACCATCGTGGAAGCTCATCAGTTCTGTGAAAATTCAAATGCCTGGCACCAGGCTAAGAAGTGAGAATGCATAGACTTAAAAAAAAACACAACTCAGTTTTGTGACAGAGATTAGTAGTAAATTGGCAATCCCAGTAACTTTGATAAAGGACTGTATCTGTTTTCATGCTTCTCTTTTTTTAAATATATTTTATTGATTATGCCATTATAGTCATCCCATTTCCCCCCTTCATTCCCCTCCACCCTCACCTTTCCCCCCTTTAGTTTATGTCCATGTGTCACAAGTTCTTTAGATTCTATATTTCCCATACTATTCTTGCCCTCCCCGCTGTCTATTTTCTTCCTACCATCTATGCTACTTATTCTCTGTACCTTCTCTTCCCTTCTCCTCCTCCTACTCCCCTGTTGCTAACCCTCCATGTGATCTCCATTTCTATGGTTCCACTCCTGATCTAGCTGTCTTCTTAGTTTGCTTTTGTTTTAGGTGTGGTTCTTATTAGCTGTGAGTTTGCTGTCCTTTCACTGTTCATCTTTTTTATCTTCTTTTTCTTAGATAAGTCCCTTTAACATTTCATATAATAAGGGCTTGGTGATGGTGAACTTCTTGAATTTGATCTTATCTGAGAAGCACTTTATCTGCCCTTCCATTCTAAATGAAAGCTTTGCTGGATAGATCAGTCTTGGATGTAGGTCTTTGGATTTCATGACTTGAAATACTTTTCAGCCCCTTCTTGCCTGTAAGGTCTCTTTTGAGAAATCCACTGACAGTCTGATGGGAACTCTTTTGTAGGTGACTATCCCCTTATCTCTTGCTGCTTCTAGGATTGTCTCCTTCATTTTAATCTTGGCTAATGTAATTATGATGTGCCTTGGTGTGATTCTCCTTGGGTCCAACTTCTTTGGGACTCTCTGAGCTTCCTGGATTTCCTGAAAGTCTATTGCCTTTGCAAGGGATACCAGATTGGGGAAGTTCTCCATTATTATTTGTTAAGTTTTCCACTTGTTGCTGTTCCTGTTCCCCTTCTGATACCCCTATAATTCGGATGTTGGAATGTTTAAAGATGTCTTGGAGGTTTCTAAGCCTCTCCTCATTTGTTTTGAATTCTTGTTTCTTCATTCTTCTCTGTTTGGTCATTCTTTTCTTCCTTCTGGTCCACTCCCTTGATTTTCACCTGTTTCCTTTCCATCGCTATTGGTTTCCTGTGCATTTCCCTTTATTTCGCTTAGTTTAACCTTTATTTGTTCCTCTAATTTGTGACTAAAATCAAATCAGTTCTGTGAGCATCCTGATCACCAGTGTTTTGAACTGTGCATCTGATAGGTTGGCTATCTCTTGGTTACTTAGAGGTATTGGCTCTGGGGCTTTGAGCTGTTCTTGAGTTATGTTTTGGTCTGTTCAGACCTGTTACATGAGGGGCGGAGCCTTAGGTGTTCACCAGGGTGGAGCCAGAGAGGGGCAGTGGCGTTTGTTCTGTTCTCTCAGATTTCGGTCCCCTCCACCGCCTCCCACAAGCAAACCAGCCACCCCTGGTGCAGACTACCAGGTATGTGGGCCTGTGCACCCTCCAGGATCCTGTGGGTCCCTCCAACGAACTGTGAGCCCGGGAGCCTCTTCTGGCACTTTGACCCCAAAAGTTTTTCCAATTGGTGCTTTTAGACTATATCGTTGATGGGACCCTAGCCTGCTTGGTCTCTCACTGCTTGCTTCTTGGCCTGGTTTATCTGAATGTGAATGTGTGACCAGTCAGTCAGCCAGCCACCCTGTGCCCCCACTGGGTGTATCGATTGCCACCCCACTCCTGGGATCTGCCAACTGCCACCTATGCTCCTGGGCCTGTCTGGTTGCTTTTCCTGCGTCAGCTGCTGACTCCATTCCTCTTACTAGTCTGGCTGAATGGTTCGTTGTTGTCAAACTTCCGTACCATTCAGTTTTCTGTTTTGGTTGTTTTTGTTACTAAAACTTTGTCGTCTTTAAACTTGGTTGTGCAAGGAGGCAGTGTTTCCACCTATGCCTCCATTTTGGCTGGAAGTCCCTCATGCTTCTCTTCTTAAGCTCCACCCCACCTTACCTGCTTGGACAGTGATTTCACTCCGTTTTTCCACTGTACACACTTGGCATGATTATGTCCATTCCATGGTTTCTAGTGATGCTTTCTTTCCTGTGTCCTAGACCTATACCTGTCCCCACCTGGATATCCCAGAGCTTTCAAACTGTCCTGCACAGAACTTACTTTCACCCTCAAGACCTGTTCCTTTATTAGTGAATGGCAATTGTTTTCACCAAGCCATTTGAGTCATTGGCCTTAATCTTTGCCTTACATTTCTTATAACTTCAAGTCCTAGCAATTCTTCTTAAATTTATCAATTTCATCTCTACTCTGTTCAGCCTTTATATTGGAATTAAGTTAGGGAGACCAGAGCAGGGCCAAAATGTAGTAATGCAGGTGGGGCCTGAATGAAGGCACCCCACTGAGGCCAAGTGGGGCATAGCAGTAAGTGGTGATTCATACAAGCATTGTATGCAGCAGCTGTTGCCAGTGTACCTTGAGCACTTAGTAAGAATGGTGTGGGGGAAACACTGGTTTTAATCTTTTTGCACATCTCAGTGACAGTTACCTCAGCATTATATTATTCTTTGCCAGTAAGTTCAGCTATCTCGTTTCCTCACCACCATCACCCTCTTCCCTTTGGTAAGAAAAGTAGCTCCTCACTTTGAGGGCTCTTGCAAAAGCACTTTCAATGTAGACAAGAATGCTGCTACTCCCAAATTTTTAGTATACCAATGCTGTGACTCATTTTCTCAATGAAGATGTTGGGATGGGATGAAGAGGAAGTATGGTCATCTTAATGCTGGTCCAAGTTATTCAAGGAAGTAAATTAGACTCTGCAAGCGCAGCTGTTTTGGGAGTGGGTTATCAATGTCCTTTTGACCAGAAGACTAGTATTTTCATTCTGTGCTCAGCATTTTGGTCTGTCATACATTCCTAACTGTAATCACTTTCACCATTTCATGCCTTTGCTCCCACTTTCCTCCCTGGGTTAGTGCTCATCCACCTTCCTATCTTTACAATTCTCTACCCCTCTTTCCCCCAGTAGATAGAGGACAAACACTTCTTAGGTATCTTCCTGGCAAATATTGAACCTAACCACAAGACAGTTACTTCTCTGGTGCTGCCCCACCACGTTACAGGCATCCAGACATCCTCAGATCACCTTATTCAGTGAACATGCTTCTCTAACTTTAGACAGTAATGCATTGAAATCTAACATCTATAAACTTTTTACAACATCCTGGAGCCAAAGTCCTCAAGTTCCTGAGCAAATTTGAGAAGATCCATTGATATAACCTAGCTTCCCCTCCATTTCTAAATCCACAAGCCTCCAGGCAAACAGGTATTCTTAAGCAAGCATTCCTTGGGTTTCACATCTGTAGCAGGTCAGGCTCCTGTCTGTACTTTTCAGCTTCAGGCTCAAGAAAGGATAGTTAAAATTATGTCAATTAACTTTCTGTAAACTGCTACAAATACAGATTATAACCTTTTGGAAATTTGTATCTCCACCATTACTTTAAATTTGAGTTCATTTGTAATCACCTTATATTCCAAGTTGATTCCTGTTTAAGAACTTTTCAAATTATAATGTGTGAACATGTAATCACAGCCTTTTACACTTATTTATAAAGGGATTAATACTTACGAATTTTTCACATTAGTCAAGAAATATAGTGGGTTGAAATTTTTAATACTGGCCCTGACGGTCCCATAAAGCAAAAAGTCACTGGTTTGATTCTCAGTCAGGGCAGATTAGGTTGCAGGTTCAGTTTGGGCCAGGGCATGAGAAGCAACCAATGGATGTCCCCCACTCCCGCTTCCCAACTGTCTAAAATAAAGTTTGACTAACCACTTTCATAAATAGAGGTATGCCCCTCATTTTTTGTATTTGCATTAAGCCACTTCATTTTCATATAAGACATACATTACTATGTATGGGCTAACCCATTCAGACTAACCAAAGAAATCCTATGAGGCAGGAGTTTGTTTTTGCATTTATGAGTTATAACACTCTGCTTTTCTTCCCTTTTTATTGGGAAGTTTATTGGGGGGACTGCAGCCTGCTTTATGCCATTTTGGGTTACAAAAGACTTCAGGTAGTGGGGGAAGCCTGTATTCTATTACTTGTTTTTACACCCTTAATCTTAGATATTTGAAACATTGGCAATTTACATTATGGCTACTGCAATAAGGAGTGAAATAGGTTATTCCATTGGCTGAAAAAGGCAACACTTGAGAAACCAAAATCAAACCTTTAAGGAACAGTATTTTCAAGCCTGTTAAATAAATGCCTGCAGTTAGGGTTGAGATGATTGCCCAGAATGGATTACAATTACAATTAATCAGGGTTCAAGATTGTTTTGGGATCATATTCATACCAAAACACTTTGAAATAATGGACACAGTTAAGGTAGAACCTAGCATTTATTTAGATCTTCATTAAACTGTTGGAATTGAGAACCAGACATACGTAATAAACCTCCAAAAATAGATCCTGAAAGGCACTTTCTGCTTAGAGCAAGCAGTCATGGAATAAGCATGTAAACAAGCTGGCTTCTCTGTACCACACCAGCCAAGTCAGCTTTCTCCATGGCCAGCTGCACCAGCTCTGCCCTCCCTTGTTAACACCAGCCAGAACCCCTGTAGGTCTAACCCAAGGTTTTTCTGTAGGACACCTTGGCCTACCTGGGAATGCTGGAAACATTAAAGGAATCATGGTGTTGAGGAAAAAAAAAAATCTTTTAAAAGCTGCCATCTGAGGTGATGGCTTCTCTGTACTTACGCCATACCCCAGAATACAATAAATAAGCAATTAGAAAATGTTCAAGTATGAAGGGATTTTCCTCCTCCCCGCCAAAAGCACTGCTGTCTGAAGAAAGCTGGTTTCTCTGTAGCTACACCAGCTGTTCAGAAAGCTCATTGGACCTGGTTTTGAAAATAAAACAAAGTTAAAACCCTGGGAGGAGTTATTGTGCAGTGTGGAGTACTTATTAGTCTTTCTTATAAAGAAAAAAAAAAAAGTTATCTGGTACCAAAGTGTGCAACCTACAGACCCTCAGGTACTGCCCTATGACTTCTCTGTATGACATCACAAGGGTGCCAAGTGCCTGTTTTTCTAGAGCTAGGAGTTGGGTGGTTTGGCTAGTGCTGAAACCATGCATAGGATTGGTTTACTAAAAAACCTTATTACGTACGTCCTCCAAAAGACAGCTGAGTAAGTGGAGAGATTTGATTTGGTGCTGTTTAGGAGATGGCAATTAAGAGCATAAGCACCAGGGAGATGGTTTAATGGTAACTGCCCCCTTTTTTTTTTTTAACGTCAGGCTAGAGCTCCAACTGGAACTTGCGTTACATGCAAGAATGACTGAATAGGGAACACTCCCTGACAAAGAGCTACATAATTAAAAATGGTTCATGTTACAGGGAGGGTAAAGGGAAAGCTTCACATCCATAATAGAGCTCGAGACATTACAAATTCATGCTGACAGGGCTGTGGCATTGCCAGACAGAAGCTATAATGGAACTACAAGTACTTTACGTGCACATTACAAGGACATTTTCAGCATTTGGTGAGCAAGTCAATGCAATTAGAATTTTAGGGGGTTGGGTGATAGGGCACAAAGTTTCAATTTCAAAGCATTATTTACTACAGTGTTGTTGGTTTGTTTCTAGGCAGTTACATGGATCACCTATGCTCACTAAATTCATTATAATGAACAAAAAAACCTAGGGACAGAATAGCAAGCCGAACTTACACTCCCCCACACAAGCTAAAATTCATGTTATTGACTAGAGTGACTGCAACTGATCAGGAGCTGAAAGAGGACAGGAAAATTTAGGAAGAAAGGCCCTTTCCCTCAGAGCATGAAGGCTTCTCTGTAGCCTACGCCAACAAGTCTGGGGAAAAAAGGCTAACACTTTCAATATTTAAGCTTTTTGGGCACTTCCCATGGGAAGCTGTCCCTACCAAAGTGGCCATAGGCTGCAGTCCTCTGATAAATTGGCTTCTTCAGATCCAGATCCCTGGAATATATAAGTCCGTAACTTAATATGTAGCAATCAATTAAAATTAAGCAAAAACAATCAGCAAGACTCATTTTCAAGACTTCTGGCAAATGAGTTCAGTTCCCTGGAGCTTGCTGGGAAAAAAGTTTGTGGCAAAAGTGTTTGTTACTTCCCTGGTGTCCAAACTCCTTGTACAGTCCTTAATTAGTAAGTAACTATAGTTCTTGTTTTTCCATCCCTGGCTCAACAAATATGAAAACTTGTCATTATTCTGAGAAATTTCAAATGTTAAAAACTCATTTGAGATCATGAAATACTTACCACCAAAGTCCCATGCCCACACCCTACATGGTTATTTTCTTTATTAATGGTCTTGAACATCCCATTTATCTGTGCTAATTTCTTTGAAGTAAACATTCTTAGGAAAGATGAGCACAAAGCCCAATATCAAATGTGGAAGACTCTCTAGGGTGGTTAAGTCCAAGCCATGGAGCACTATACTTTTGGATCTTCCTTAATTTAAGTCTTTACTGAAGGCAACTTATAAGATAACACCAACACATTTCTAGAAAATTTAAAATGTTCCCATACTTAAGGAGTCTTCCTTCATGTCCTCAAACTTGAATATATCTCATACATATCCATACCCCCACACCCTTAATATTTTTCACTAGCAATAGGCTTTACCATCTTTACCTGACAATGACCCCAGGGCGGAGGTCAAAGTTCTTCTTCACAATCTCTAATAGCTCTCTCTCACTCTTCTGAGAGGTGCCGTAATGGAAAATGGAGATAGACAATGGATGGGAAACTCCAATAGCGTAGGAGACCTAAAAAGATCGAAATAAGAGTTGGTCATCAACAGATCCACACTCTTGCATACACTGGTATAAAAAAAGACAAGTAGATAATTACTAAATGCCCTCCCACTTACATGCCTTTGATTCACTCCAGTTTTACTAAAGAATACATACCTGCACAAGTACCCTTCTGCATAGACCACCTTTAACAAGGGATTTTGCCACCCAACGAGCAGCATAAGCAGCAGAACGGTCCACCTTGGTATAATCCTTTCCTGAAAAGGCACCTCCTCCGTGAGCTCCCCAGCCGCCATAAGTATCCACAATGATTTTCCGGCCAGTCAAGCCAGCATCACCCTGAAATTACAAGGATTTAAGTCACTTTATGCCTTATCCTTTCCAGTAAGTGATTTTAGATCAAGTTTGTTAAATGCCTATTCTGTATCACTTAGCGAATAACCTCAAGAGATTCACAGGTAGGGTTTCAAAAATTAAATAGAGAGAAAAGGTGATAGTGGCCAAATTCTTGCCAGTAACCATCACAGAAGATCCGCAAAAGAGTACACTGAATTGACATTTGTAAAGCCTTACCTGAGGCCCACCGATAACAAATCTGCCGCTTGGCTGTAGATGATAGATTGTATCCTCATCAAGGTATTTTGCAGGTACAACTGCTTTGATGACTTTCTCCTTTAGGGCATCCCTCATCTCATCAAGACAAACTTCTTCATCATGCTGAACCGATATAACAATTGTGTGGACTCTGATGGGAATCACAGCACCTCGATCCTGCATATACTGCACAGTCACCTTGAAGGCAACATAGGTCATCAGGACATCAGTCTACTAAACAAGTTTTGTTCTTAGTTTTCTACCCTAAGTTACAAAAGACAAATGCTAGTCTTTTCTTTTTTCAATTAGTCAGCTGTAATCAAGTAACTTCACTAATATTCTGGGCTAATGCATATATGTAATTTAACTATATGATCATCACTTACTTGAGTTTTAGAATCTGGGCGTAACCAAGGCAAAGTGCCATTGCGGCGTAGTTCAGCCAGTTTGGCATTGAGCTTGTGTGCTAAGACGATAGTTAAAGGCATGCATTCCTCTGTTTCATCAGTGGCATAACCAAACATCAAACCCTAACAAAGGAAAGTCACCAATGTTACCAATCCAAGCCTCAAAATGCAATGTTAGAAGAGACACAGATAGCACCTATCACAATACCTGGTCTCCTGCACCAATGTCTTCCTCATTCCGGTCAAGATGAACACCTTGAGCAATATCTGGTGATTGCTGCTCCAAGGCTACTAACACATTGCAAGTCTTGTAGTCAAACCCTGTAAAAGAAAAAAAACAACGAAGCAGTTTTCTTTAAAAAAGCTATAGTCAGTAGTACCTTCTTGCAACTAGTATCTGGGATTCCATACAGGTGACCCTTAAATAACACATTTGCCACTTGTCCATAGATAAGACAATTGTGTAGGGGGGTTAGGGGGGTGGGGAGAGGAGGGGAGCAGGGTGCTAGTGATCAGGTCTGTGCTTTTAACTCCTGTACTATTCAAGAATCACCTGTATTGCTAAAGAAATCAAATATAACTAAAACTTAGTACTTTGAGAGGATGAAATAGGGTTAGAACAGAAGGATAGTAAAACTATACAAGTGGAGTTATAGATTAACAGGAACATCTTTAGAAGATAGAGCTAGAGAACACTCTAGAAAATATATGGAAAAACGAGCTTAAAAAAGCCAACTCATTAAAATATACCTTTGGAAGAATCATCATATCCAATGTGTTTTATGGTCTCACGAACCACTTTCTGGTAGTCAATAGCAGCTCTGGACGTAATTTCCCCAGCAAGAAGGATCATTCCAGTTTTAGCCACAGTTTCTAATAAAACAGAGGTTCACGCTCAAGTGTCACTTTTATAATTTTCATAATGCTACCCTTTCATCAGTTGTTCTGGCCCTAACTAGTGTGGTTCAGTGGGTTGGGCATCGTCCTGTGGACCAAATAGTTGCTGGTTTGATTCTCGGTCAGGTCCCTGGTTGAGGGCATGCGAGAGAACCAATCAGTGTTTCTCTGGCACATCCTTGTTCCCCACCCCACCTCCTCTCTAGAAAAATAAAATCTTTAAAAAATAAAATAGCAGCAGCAGTGTTCTGAACCTACCACAAGCCACTTTGGCATCAGGATCCTGCTGAAGGTGAGCATCAAGGACAGCATCACTGATCTGATCGCAAATCTTATCTGGGGAAAAAAAATGCCTAGCTCAATTTCTTTAACTTACTGTTAATGTAAGTTATGCTATGCCCACTTTCTGATAACCACAGCTGTCAAAATCTTTGGTAGAGCTTTCTTCTCAAAACTCTGGTTAACACCTATATAAATCTTACCATTCTACTAAACATTTTCAGGTGTACAATTTAGTACCATTTCAAATAATGGAGATCTTAAGAATTATACAATTAAAGCACTGTTTTACCAGAAACTATTTACCTAAAGAATGAATACTGAATGTAGCATAGCATGTTACATTTTGAAAAATTAAGTCCCCAGGCAAAACAATTCCCACTGTTAAATTAACAGCCACATTATCAAAATTAATCAAGTGAGCATAGAAATAGAACGATTTTATCTTCACATTCAAAAGCAAAACTAGGAAATATTTGGCTTTAGTGTTTTCATTTTCAAACCATACTTAACATTTTATCCCCAAAATTTAAAGTTTGCATTATAAATCCAACCAACCAGAAAGGTAAACTTTTTTCCTCATCAATTTCTCCTTGATCTGAGGAACACCAATTGGGGCAATGAGAAGTGATGTCAACAAGAGTTAAACAACAAAAGCAAAGACACTTTATGAACAAAAGGAATGAAATGGCAAATTATGTGATTATGTGTAGTCTAGTAACAAAAGCTGACCAGACTGCTAAATACCCAAATGTCTTTCACATCCTTGATTTTTTTTCCATACTGTGTCATCTATTAAAAAATTGGGAAAGAAGCCCTGGCTGGTGTAGCTCAGTGGATTGAGCGCGGGCCTGAGAACCAGACAATCGCGGTTCGATCCCAGTCAGGGCACATACTGGGGTTGCAGGCAGGTTCCCTGCAGGCCAGTTCCCAGCAGGGGATGCATGAAAGGCAACCATACA